TCTTTATTATATCTGTGCAACAATGAGTGAAGGAAACTTTACAGTGGCTGTTGGAAAGAAAGACACGCTAATTACATGTCAATAATTCAATGCTTAAATTTAATGGCCGGGAGAGGTTCGTTTACTGCTGAGTGAGTGATTATCTGCGGCGGGAGATAAAGGGAATAGAGTACAGGCAGAGAGAGGAAAGAAAAGATAAGGTAGAGTATGATGATGAGTAAATCTGGTCTCCCTCGCTCGCCTCTTCCGAGGTGGTAAAAGGTCTCATAAACTCCTGACTCCATGGGTTTCCTCTATGTATTTTTTCTCCATTTCTGTGAAAATAATATATATAAACACACTCACCTAAAGAATTATTAGGAAGCCCTGTTCAATTTCTCATTAATGCAATTATCTAATCAACCAATCACATAGCAGTTGCTTCAATGCATTTAGGGGTGTGGTCCTGGTCAAGACAATCTCCTGAACTCCAAACTGAATGTCAGAATGGGAAAGAAACGTGATTTAAGCAATTTTGAGCGTGGCATGGTTGTTGGTGCCAGACGGGCCGGTCTGAATATTTCACAATCTGCTCAGTTACTGGGATTTTCACACACGACCATTTCTAGGGTTTACAAGGAATGGTGTGAATAGGGAAAAACATCCAGTATGCGGCAGTCCTGTGGGCGAAAATGAAGCATGGTCAAAAGGTGACGCCTTGGGGTGAGAATGTAAATCATAAGCAAATCATCAAGCTAAATAAAAAATAAAGAGATTTTATTTATTTGTAACATTTTACTTTAGTTGCAGTTATGTGGATATTTGAGGCACACAGAACATTTTCCTTTTTGATTTCTCTCCTGACATCCCAGATAGCAAACTGACATTGAATCAACGTGGAAATATGACATCGAAACAACGTTGATCTGACATTGTTTTGCTCATCGAATTAACGTTGAACCAACGTCAGACGCGTCATTCTTTCAAAACTAACGGAAAATCAACTTGAAATCAACGCGTTGTTTCAACGTTATGAAAGCAAACCAATTTTCGATTTTCATTTAGCTTTGAAGAATGCCGCGTCTGACGTTGGTTCAACGTTAATTCGATGAGCAAAATCAACGTTGTTTCAATGTCATGAGAGACATCGTTTCCACGTTGATTCAATGTCAGTTTGCTGTCTGGGATGTCAGTTTAGGAAAGAGTTTCTATTGTTTATGTCAAAGCATTATTTCTGAAATGCGTGAAAAAGCAGGAAGTTTGCTTAAGTAGGGAGCTGAAAGGCTCTGGAGAGGGTTTGGATTCTCTCCTGCCTGAGTTGTCCTAAATGAAGGCACGTCTGCATGCATTCCTTATGTCCCTGACAATGGGCCGACATCCTCTGTGCCTAATGGCTGCTGAGCTCTTGCCTTTGTCCCTTGATTAACTGCTCTATTCAGGGCTCAGCCTGCTAATTGCATAGCCTGTATAGCTCCCCTGCATTACTGTAAGAATTAATGAGACACAATTACTGCACCCAGCAAATCTCGGGCCAGTCAATCCCAAAGAGCCCCCCTCAACCCAGCCTGAGTGAAGTAGAGACTGTAGAGATGCATGGGGCGGGGGGGGGGGGGGGGGGGGGGGGGACAGAGGTTGTTTCGTAAAATACATGTATTTATTTCAAGCCAGCTCATAATTAGGCCCTAGAGTGAGTGATGGACTCAAAGAGACTGAATAGTAGAGGAAACAGAGAAAAGAAGAAATTACATTTATACTGAAACAGGAAAACGAGAACTAGGCCAAACAGCACCGTGTCACTAAAGGGCTTTCTGGAAACAACCTACCATGCATTTACCAGTCAAAAAGTTGGGACTTGTTTTGAACCTCTTATTTAAAGGCTTCTGTTTAATTGTTTAAAATTAGTTTTGAAGCCAAAGTAGTGAAGGAGAAACAGCCAACAACTGCTTAGCATAAATGAGATCCCCTTTAATACTCAAATATAAAAGCTTTCATTTGTTGATACATTAAAATGATCAAAAATCACATTAAAGATGATTTCCCCAAAAATATTAAGCAGTACAATTGTTTTCAACAGTAAATCAGCATTAGAGTGATTGACTGGAGTAATGATGCTGAAAAAAATTCAGCTTGGATCAGATTTGTTTCCTCTGATTTTGGGGATAACTTATTATCCCTTTTAGTTTTCGGACAGGAATGTTGTTCCAGGATCAACAAAATATGTTGTCCCAGGACAACATGGCATCATCTAACTTCAGTCTGCAGAGAATTCCTAAAAAATGGTATGCCTTAACATAAAAGTGGTTACATTTAGTCTACATGCAGTCGATACAAATGCTGAAAAATGTATTTTTTTTACTTTATGTACAAATACCTGTAAGTATAAATGACATCACCATGGAATCTAAGGAAGACTAGTTCATCATCATTACTGAGCGTTACATGACCATTAGCACACATTCCACTCAAAAGTTATAAGATAAGACAATCGCTGTATCCCAATTTGCCTATTCATTCTATGACCATAAGTCCATACTTGTGAGTGTGTATCAGAAGAGTAGGTAAGCTTTGGGACATATACTTTGTCATAGTTGTGTCTTTAACGAACCGCTCTGTCACCATTTAAACAACCCTGTTCAAATCATCCACGTTCAATTGAATTAAAGGAGTAGTTCACTTTAAAAAAAAAAAAAAAAAAAAACTTTTTGCTGATAATTTACTCACCCCCATGTCATCCAAGATGTCCAAGTCTTTCTTTCTTCAGTTGAAAAGAAATTAAGGTTTTGGATGAAAACATTCCAGGATTTTCTCCATATAATGGACTTCAATGGGAACCAAACAGTTCAAGGTCCAAAAGACAGTTTCAGTGCAGCTTCAAAGGGTTTTAAACGACACCAGACGATGAATAAGGGTCTTATCTAGCGAAACGATCGCTCATTTAAAAACAAGGTTTAAGTTTTATAAGCTCAAATGGTCGCCTTGCTCTGTTCTGTGATGCTCGTTCGTGACTCTCCTGTTTGAACATACAACGAACGAAAATGAACGAGTTGACTCGGGAAAAGATTCATTCATTTTGATAAACGAGTTCGAACAGGAGAGTCACGAACAAGCATCACAGAACAGAGCAAGGCGATTATTTGAGCTTATACAACTTAAACTTTGTTATTTATTTTTTTAAATGAGTGATCGTTTCGCTTGATAAGACCCTTATTCATCATCAGGAATCGTTTAAAGCCCTTTGAACAGTTTGCGGTTTGCACTGAAAGTGTCTTTTGAACCTTGAACCGTTTGGTTCCCATTGAAGTCCATTTTATGGAGAAATATTCTGGAATGTTTTCATCAAAAACCTTAATTTCTTTTCGACTGAAGAAAGAAAGACATGGACATCTTGGATGACATGGGGGTGAGTAAATTATCAGCAATTTTTTTTTTAAAGTGAACTACTCCTTTAATTTCCTATACCATATCGGGAAAACATTATGTGAATAATGTTGAATAAATATTATTTCCTCGTGTTAGATACTGATCACAAGTCAAACCTCTCTCTACTTAACAATTGGTCTCAAACATCCACCGTGTTTGTAGTTTTTAACAAGTTTTATTTGTAGTTCTAATCGGATATTATCTGTTAGTGTGTGCTCGGGTCTGCACTTCGGATTCTAACCGGAAAAAGTAGACAATCCAAGTAACTTCGGAATAGTCTTTTCAATATACAGATTTGGAATCCTAATTTTGAATCCTATTTAGAACTGATAGTTTGTGGATTGTATGTATTTTACCTGCCGTGTCCACCAAACTGTGAACACAGAGATAGCTCATTTACTGATTATTAACACCTTGTTTATATATAAAAACACTTCCTTTACCACAGTCGACTTGATAACGTCACCATAAGAACTAAAAAACATTATCACTCTAAATCAGTTATCAGTCTGACCCTCATAAAATCTCCACGCGTGGCTAGCACAGCACGCGACAGCGAGGTTTGATGAGGGATCTCTTACTTCAGGTGTTACTGGAAGCACAGTACTCCACCTGTTCACCTGTATAGCGGTCGGAAACTCCTTCCTCAGTGTGAGTTTGAGAAAGGTTCCTCGGGAACCATATGACTCATAGGCACGAACTCAAAAGCTAATCTGTTTCTTTTGTGCAACTAGATATGTAGAAAGTAATCCGGGGTTTCTTTGACGACACTCGAGCACAAAACAAAATACTACACGCAAATCCCAGATCATCTGTGCTTTTGAAAAATACTCACCGCAGTTTGTGTCACTCTGTAAACATCAAGTTAACATTGACAAGCAAGTTAACATAACAATGATGCTTTTGAGGCAAAGGTGTGTGTGTAACAGAGAAAGAGAGCAAAAATGTATGTGTGTGTGTGTGTGTGTGTACATGTATTATATTCGTTGGGGACTTGAATGAACCTGAATGCACACTAACTCATGGGGACTCGTGTCACTGTGGGTAAACACACTTATAAATCATACAGAATTATTATTTTTTTAAATGTAAAAATGCAGAATGTTTCCTGTGATGGGGAGGTCTAGGTGCACTGTAAAAAAAATATTGATGGTTTAACTTAAAAAAGTAAGTAACCTGGATGCCTTCAAATTTTAAGTTCATTGAACTGGAAAAAGTGAGTTAATACAATGAAGGAGAATGATTTAATCATCAGAAACTCAAAATGATATGTTATCTGAACTAAATAAATTATGTAAGTTGATTTGACAAAAGAAAAAAATGTTGTGATTACTACACTGTAAAAAAATATTGTTGGTTTAACTTAAAAAAAGTAAGTAACCTGGGTTGCCTTAAAATTTTAAGTTGATTGAACTGGAAAAAGTGAGTTAATACAATGAAGTAGATTAATTTAACCATCAGAGACTCAAAATAATAAGTTATCTGAACTAAATAAATTATTATAAAGTTGATTTGACAAAAGAAAATATGTTGTGATAACAAATCTTGAAAACATTTTGTGGGGATAAAATATAGTTTGTACAGTATAAAAACCATTACTTACGTCTATGGAGAGTCCTCACAAAGTTCTGCGATCCTACTTGGTGAGAGGATGAATTAATTGTCTGCTGTTGTGAATGAGAAGTGAATTAGCGTTAGCTTCGTAGACACAAAAGAGGATTATTGCTGCTGCGTGCGGCATATTTTCAATACTGTTAGCAATTTCTGGAATGTCTATTCGGATTTGGAGTGTTTACGCACCTGTCAATCACCTCCGTCACCCTTTTTCCACAGCTGAAAAAAGAAAGAAACCCTCTGCTCCATTCATCTTTGTCTTCAATGCTAACAATGCAAACTCTTGTACATTAGCCCCTTCGCCCTTCTTATCGGAGCGGGAGAGTGTCTCGCTCTGTACCTGAATGCTCTTTGTTTCTCCGTGACCCCTCGAGTGCAGGTCACCGCCTGCAGCCATTCCTAACACAGTCTCATCCCAAAAAGTCATATAACTGACGTTTTGGGACGTATTTTGACCATACGTCAATATCAGCCTTTTTAGGGCCCCCTTAAACGCCGGTAGATGGCGATCCCGGGCCGTCATACAACTGACGCTTTACCTTTAACGTCAGTTAGGTGACGGGTTAGGTTTAGGGTTAAGTTTAGGTATGGGGTAGAGTTAGGATCCCATAACCTCATCTACCGACGTTTAAGGGGGCCCTAAAAAGGCGAATATTGACGTATGGTCAAAAGACGTCCCAAAACGTCAGTTATATGACGTCTTGGGGTGAGACCGGGTTGCCATTCCACACTGGATTTGGCCATCATCAGGTTTCAGGCTCTCACACACGGAGCGGGTCAGGGGCCCCGAGTGGATCCGCCGTGTTCCACGTCAATCAACTTTCTATTGCTACGCTGATGGCTCGCGGGCCTGCGGTTTTGAACCTCACTTACAGCAAGTGTACGTTGCTTTGTGATCGGAACACTTTTCATTTCGGGATCACACTTTTTGTGGAAGCGTGGAGCAAATCTCATTAAAACCAAAGTGAAATGGACACTGAACGCTGTACAGGATATACTATTCCTTAAAATAGTTCATGATTTTCATTTGAACATTAAAAGACAATACAATTCAAATGTGAGTTTAATTAACCCAACGTTTGTTTTCTACGATTGTTCGCGGATATAAAGTATGTAAAACGTGACAGCTGCAATATAATTATCATTATTACGGCCAAATGAGGTAAAAGACACACCCAATGCAACTCATTGTGTTTATTAAATAAATAATGAAATTTATTTTCAACATCACAACAGGTATTTATTACTCAATTTAGTACTTTCAAACATGTGTATATTATTTAAATTAACAATAGTTTATAATTATATAACATATGCATTGACCTGTAATAAATTATGGTAAATTATAAAATTAAATTTTATTTTTAAATTTACAGAATTACAGTATTGGCTATAAGTAATATCCCTACGAGTTTGATTAAACGATCAAAATATGAGGGAAAAAAATTATATATATATATATATATATATATTATATTTCCTCATATTTTGATCGTTTAATCTTTTTTTAATTTTTTTTTAAAAGTATTTTAAATATGAATCCAGAGATCAAGTCATTTTGATTCCGAAAGGCACTATAAGTGGTCGACCAATCACAACAAACTGGGCCATTTGACCAATCAGAGTAGAGTAGGCTCACAGAAAGGAGGGGTTTAGAGAGACGGAATCGAACTGTTTTCAGACTTTTAGAGAAATTAGGAAATTATATATATATATTTAAGTTCAGTAATTTCACTTATTTCTTTTATTTATTTATTTTTTTGATGATGATGATGATGATAGATGCATGTAAAGATATTCTAGGTGACTGCTAAACAAAATTAGGAAGTGACATTTTAAACCGATAACACGCGAGTTCTACATTTGTTTTACAAATATACATCTCTACATTTGAGTTTATTTTTGTTTATTTATATTTCTCTCTCACATTTTTTTCAGATTGCAAGTGCACAATTATCTGCCGTGTCACAATGAAATAGCATTGCAGTGTATTTTAGATGTTACCACATCAAGCTATTGTTTCGGTCACCTGACAAGAATCATATTTGGAAAGAAAAAAAAAAAGACCCTCAACCATTCAGATTGGTCACTTTTTTGTGGTATTCAAATTTAGTATGGGCTTAGCACCAAACCGACTGCACACTACCACTTTTCCAGTGGTTAACTGAAGTGGTTGTAAAATTGAATTCATTATTTCCAATTAGCATTATTGATTTGAGGTTGAGACATTTTACCCTTCTCTTTCATTACTTATTGTAAAAATACTTTCCTCTTCCATGGTCAGGATTGAAGTTTGTGTCTGCATATACGGCCCTGTGTTGATCATGGCAAAGCTAAATGCTCTTCAGTGCGTGTATATATATAGCTATATATGATTTAATCATGGGTGCAGAACTAAATGAAAAGAGAGGGTTGTGTAACTAGTGTAATTTTTATTTGTTCTGGACATATATATGGAGATCTGATCAGATTGAGAAGACAAACATGTCTTTTATGGCTGTTTTAGTGATACCAAGTCTAAAACCGGGTTTGGGCAGAAAAAAACCACACTGAAACTTGGCTGAAAATTCTATATATGCAATGCTCTGATATTATATAGGCTTGGAATGCTTAATAAAGTATCTTTCATGAGACTAAGAAGTCAGTTTGATTTTTTTTCCTCACCGCAACCACATCCGTTAATGCAAACAGGACACATCGTTGCTTCAAACAAACAAATCTTGCCCTTAGTTCAAGTCAATAAATACACAAAGATATGACGTGTGACTGTTGAAGCCATGTCGTATCTCTAAAAGATAAGATCTATTGTCTTAAACGAGTCATTTAGTACTCTCTCTGCTCTCGTTTGATGAAATCACACCATATTAAAACACTCAAAGGAAGCCACTGTCATTTGCTAACCTAATTTAGCCAACGCCACACAAAACATAAACACCTCCTGTCGTTATGCAAATTGAAATGGCCTAATTATCATCTGCCAAATAACAATAGGGTGAAATTGAAGCAGCCTGCTTTAATCTAGTATGTTCTTGTCTGTCTGTGTGTGTGTGTGTGTGTGTTTTGTACTTTCTCATGAAGGCAGTGCAGAGTTGTGGTGCACTTCATCTTGCATGATGATCACGCTACTGAAATGTAGCATTTATTAAAGAGTAAAAAAAAGAGCTTTAAGAGCTTTTCAAGAGTTTCCCTGTGGCGGTTCATCGGGTCAAATTCAGGGCCATAACTACAATGGATATTGAGGAGGGAAGCCACTCCTTAAAGGAGTAGTTCACTTTAAAAAAAAAAAAGTGCTGATAATTTACTCACCCCCATGTCATCCAAGATATCCACGTCATTCTTTCTTCAGTCGAAAAGAAATTAAGGTTTTTGATGAAAACATTCCAGCATTTTTCTCCATAATGGACTTCAATGGGAACCAAATGGGTCAAGGTCCAAAATACACTTTCAGTTCAAACTGCAAACGGTTCAAAGGGTTTTAAACGATTCCAGACAATGAATAAAGGTCTTATGAAGCAAAACGATCGCTCATTTAATAAATAAATAACAAAGTTTAAGTTGTATAAGCTCAAATGCTTATCTGATGCGCGTTTGTGACTCTCCTGTTTGAACTCGTTCATCAAAATGAACAAATCTTTTCCCAAATCAATTTGTTCATTTCGTTCGTTGAATAAACCAAATGATACGAAAAAATATTCGTTCATTTTGATAAACGTGTTTGAACAGGAGAGTCACAAACGCGCATCAGAACAGAGCAAGTCGACCATTTGAGCTTTTAAACTTAAACTTTTTTTTTTTTTAAATGAGTGATCGTTTCGCTTGATAAGACCCTTATTCATCGTCTGGAATCATTTAAAGCCCTTTGAACAGTTTGCAGTTTGCGCTGAAACTGTCTTTTGGACCTTGAATCGTTTGGTTCCCATTGAAGTGCATTATATGGAGAAAAATGCTGGAACCTTCATTTCTTTTCGACTGAAGAAAGAAAGACATGGACATCTTGGATGACATGGGGCTGAGTAAATTATCAGCAAAAGCATTTTTAAAAGTGAACTGCTTTAATCTGTGCATTATATTTACAATATTTAAATTTATACTATATGACCACATCTCCACCATTAAAAGTAGCCCAAACGACAAGCATTTATGGTAAACTAAAATATACTTTAATATAATTTCTATTGAAACTTGTGTAATGTGTTTATACTATGCAGAGTGTTTATTATTACACATTAGTTACAACTTAATACATATAAAATATGTAAAATGTCAAAGAAAAAACCCATAATAGGTGTTTACATAATAGGTACTTAATTATACATAATCATAATTAAGTACTTGTACTGTACTGTTTTAAAAGAGTCAACAAAATAGAAAAATAATGAATTATTAATGCATAATGTTTTAAATGATACACTCAAAAAAAAATGCTGGGTTGTTTCAACCCAAATTTGGGTCAAATATGGACAAACCCAAATGTTGGGTTAAAAAATGTAATAAAAAAAAAATCACAGTTGAAAGTGAAAGTTGAAGTTGGGTTAAAATTTTAAATTACATTTTTAACCCAACATTTGGGGTTGTTCATATTTGACCCAAATTTGGGTTAAAACAACCCAGCATTGTTTAGACTGTAGTTTAAAGAAAATGTATTACTTTTAAAGTGTGTAAGGCTGATCGATTTCTTTTAAAAAATTGACTTTGGTCCCCAATCTTAATTTTCAAATTGCATCTAAAAGACAGCAAATCTCCAACTTGGCAAATGTTCTGCTTAATTGAACTAAATACAAGTTCAAATTAAGTTATTGTAGGTGCACTGTTTCTTGAGAAAGGTTTTGTGTTCAAAGACAAAAGAGGCTGTGAACCTTCTACCATTACATCTAAGCCAAGTAGCCAACACTAGTTCTTTCTTGGCTTCTATTGTTCCACGAAGAACCTTTAACATCCATGGAAACCTTTCATTGCACTGAAGCTTCATTGCACGAGCTGGAAAATGGTTCTTCAGGTTATTAAAGACTTTATCTTTTATCTAAAATGCTCTTTGTGGAACTCAAAGTGGTTAAACTGCAAAAATCCCCTATGAGAACCTTTACTTGATGAACAGATCACAGAAAACAAAGATGTATCCATTATGTATCTCATTTTGTTCTGGTTAATATTCTAAATGAATTTGTAATCTGTTTTGTTGAAACTGGTTTTGAACCAATCATCCGAAGCTTGGCAGTGCATGACTGTCACGCTTACTGAACCTGAAGGTCAACAATCTTTATTGGTCTTACTGTTCAAAGGTCGATAAATACGCCTGAAGTTGTAAACTTTCTCTGCTCTGGCAACTTTTATTCCTCCATTTCTTCCTCCTTTCACACCTTTACTCATTAACCCTCGCTCACCCGACGATAGCGTAGAGTAAATCTATAACGTTTATTTTATTATCTCACGAGTACCCGTACTGTAAGACGCAACTACTGGCAATTAGCAAAAGATGAGAGCGAGACAGTCATATCAACAATAGTTGTGCTAGTCATTATCCAGGGCATGTATTATTCAAAAGATGCCAGATACATCAACAAGCTTCCAATGTGGGCGTTGAGAACGAAACAGGAATCCAGAGGTGGCTTCATCTCCCGAGTGAAACGGTGCATGATCGTGGGCGATTACGGGTCTCCTAAGGATGGGCCTATCTTGACCCCCCTGCCCCGACGTCGCCGAGAATGTTACTTTCCTTCCATCACCCCGCAGTCGCGCGGCACCTCAACCCTCGGCAGATATCCCCATGCACACTTCAAACACAGCCTGCATATTCGCATCAATTCCCTCTCATCCAGCCTGTCAAGTGCACTCAACGTTAAGGGTAAATTAATAAATAAGCCCTCCTGTTTACCCACTCACTCTTTTAGCGTGTAAATAAACATGTCTTAATCTTCTTGCTAATGAGCATTAGAAGGGGCCCGGGGTGGATTTGCTGGAGGTTCTTGCCTACGGACTAGGAAAGGTTTGACAGAAGGAAGCAAGAAAACAAATATGCCCGCAAGGTCGTCTTATTATACGTTTGCTTGCAGCCTTCCGGACGTTTTTTGTGCTACCTCAACTTAGTGATGTTTTTTTTTTCACTTACCTTCTCACTCTTCTCCCTTCCTTTCCTCCTTTCTGTCTCTCCATGTGTGTCTTTACACACATCAGCCTGGCCTTTCGACAACCGTTCAACTGTCCTGAAATGAAGACAGATGAAAAGAGTAAGATTGGTCATCCACCACCACCATTTGCCTATTGGTTACCAGATAATGTTCACTAATAACTAAGAACCATTTCCATTCTGCAGTTAAACACATAGGCTGCATCTAAAATCACATGCTTCCCTATAAAGTAAGGTATTCATAAAACAGTAGAGGGAAAGCGAGTCTTGAGATACCGAAGGACACTTTACTATCCCATGAGGCCATGAGAGAGGATCGACACAACTGATGTTGGTACGGGACAATGACAAAATTAAGGAAGTAGTACAGGATATCATTCAGAATTTAGATTTGTTAGCAGGCGCAAAGTAATGAGTTATTCAAAAGAAGTATTCTCAGAGAGTATGTGATTTGGGATGCAGCCATACTCTGCAAGTGTTCCCAATGGATAAAATCAAGTCCCACCATCCAAACTCATTAAATATCCGGTTTAACTCAGAAATGCATTACATTCTGAAAGATAAATAGGCTGTGAATTCCAGGTGGATATTGAGTCCTTAAATGAGTAGTTCACTTTTAAAAAAAAAACTTTTGCTGATAATTTACTCACCCCCATGTCATCCAAGATGTCCACGTCTTTCGTTCTTCAGTCGAAAAGAAATTAAGGTTTTTGATGAAAACATTCCAGCATTTTTCTCCATATAATGGACTTCAGTGGGAACCAAACGGTTCAAGGTCCACTGTTCAAAGGGCTTTAAACGATTCCAGACGATGAATAAGGGTCTTATCAAGCGAAACGATCACTCATTTAATAAATAAATAACAAAGTTTAAGTTTTATAAGCTCAAATGGTCGCCTCGCTCTGTTCTGTGATGCGCGTTCGTGACTCTACTGTTTGAACTTGTTTATCAAAATGAACAAATCTTTTTTCCGAGTCATTTGGTTCATTCAACGAACAAAAAGAACGAATTGACTCGGAAAAAGATTCGTTCATTTTGATGAACGAGTTCGAACAGGAGAGTCACACAATACAGAGCAAGGCGAGCATTTGAGCTTATAAAACTTAAACCTTGTTATTTATTTATTAAATGAGCAATCGTCTGGAATTGTTTAAAGCCATTGCACTGAAACTGTCTTTTGGACCTTGAACCGTTTGGTTCCCAGTGAAGTCCATTATATGGATAAAAATGCTGGAATGTTTTCATCAAAAACCTTAATTTCTTTTCGATTGAAGAACGAAAGACTAGAAAATATATTTAATTAAAAAAAGGCATTTTTCCCTTCTTTAAAAGAACAATAATCAAATCATTCCAAAGGGAAAGATAAGAGTCATATAATATTTATGATTTGGGTTTCACATTATTGATTACATATTTCTTCTAATGGCTGGTGACTGGAGTCGACCATTGAACCCAAAGTGCCGTAACCTCATTCAGCATAGTCCAGATACTGAGTGAACCGAGAGTCGGGTGTGTAAAGCGAAAAAGTAAATTAATAGTTGAATTAATATACTTTACATAGATTAAAACATCTTAAAAAATTGCATCTATAAAAGAAGGATTTCTGGGTCATGGTCAATTTATGTTATGTGTTGTATAACAATCAGGCAATATCAAAGTCTTCATCCTTCATTAAGTCCTCTTACCTGCGGGGTTAATCAAGGCTATGTAAGATATTTTATATTTAATATTAATATACTTATAGATATAGTTTTATACTCTCGGAATCACACCCATGATATGGCAATCCTGTCACACAAATTGTAAAAAAAGTAGATTATATTAGTACCTACTATGGAAGCTTGTTTCCGCCACTGAATAAAAAATAAAAAAGGTAATTGCAACTTTTATCTCACATTGCTGACTTTTTTTTGTCACAATTGCAGGTTTACATCTCACAATTCTGAGAAAATATTATATACTCGCAATTGCGTGTTATAAAGTCATTTGTGAGATAAAAAGTTGCAATTCTTTTTTTTATATGTTTCATTCAATGGCGGAAACAAGCTTCCGTAAGTAACACCTGAAAAATGAAAAACTAGCATTATCCCATCAATTGCAACAAGAGGTTACATACATTCTTGACTTTATGTCAAAACACTGTCAATCGGCCGTGTTTCTCACTGATGCACGCTGTACGGTATGTAATAACCTGCTGATTCGAGGTACACAGACACAGCGAGCGGATCTATGAGAAGGACGTCTCGTCTTGTGTGCTCTCAGCAGTGGATTGATTAGCAGGGCCGGCCCCTGTTTGTCAAGGTAATGAGGTGAAGGTGAGGGGACACCCAGGGAGCGCGCTCCACCACCTCAGGGGACCCAAGAAGGGATCCAGCCCCACCTGCATCTGATTAGCTGCCAAGCCCAAAGAAAACACGAGCTGATGAGGATGGGGGGCTGGGCCGCCCCTCCCCCACCTCCAGCTCTCCATGGAGAAATGTGGAGGCCTGGCCAAAGTCAAAGAACAAACACAGCAAAACAATCGCTAAACACAGCCTCGTTTCTTAAAACAAGGCGGTAGGCAAACAACATGCTAGCTCTGTCTAAACATCTAGTGAGCTGCCTTCAAATATCCTGTTAAATTGAACGTCAGCTGTGGTTCCCAGAAATTCACCGGAATAAAATATACCGTCAGGTATTACAGGAGGGCATATTGATGCCTGTGTAGCCTGAATATTTCATTAATTGATATAATATTCATAAACAAATCTACTTGAACTACCAACATCTACTTTACCTTCACATGGAAACCACAATAACACGCAAGTGGTAAACCAGAAAACGAATGAATCAGAGCTTTTAGTAAGTTATAACACTTGTATAAGCGGACAACAACGTCATTCACAAGACAAAACTAATAATATGAAAAAAAAAATGTAATAACCATCAACAGACTCGAGTTGATTTCAGAGCTTGCTGTTAGCATGTTGCTAAGCTAACAATGTGTCCAAAAGCTTAGGCTGCTGACTCGTTGCCCCACTTCCCTATCAGGAAATGACTTCGCTGGCAGTGTTTACACATGAAGGTCCCTCACAAAAAGGTTTCTGAGGCCTCATAATGGTTTAATGATCCACAAAAAAATAGAGAAAGCAAATATAATTAGCTTACAACAATAGTAATGACATCAGAAATCTGTAACTGTCACAGAATCGAACTCACAGGATTTTGTGTGTTTTCTTATGGGCAGTGAATAGCCTGTTTCCTTCAGAAATCGATCGGTTGAAGGTTTCTCACTTTACAAAATGTGACACGAGCACTGGATCCTGACGTGCCTTGTAATCTTCCATGTGGAGGCAGCATTTTTCAGCCAATGTAACACTTTAATAAGCACTAAAAACATAGCCTGGAAATATTGAGTCAAAATGGGTAAATTTTTTATTAAATTTATTTCCAATCTGCATATCAGTTTGTCTTTTTTTTTCACTGAGCGTGTTGCAATGGGATGCATCTGACTGTTTTGGAATGCAAGAAAGAAACAATTCTTGTGTGAATGGCTCCTGTGTTCGGGGAATTTGGCCAAACGTAGGTCTAATGTTGCTAAGCATGCAGCTCACTGCATTTTGGATCAGAGCTACTTACTTTCTGGTTGAGAAGCAGGATAAGGTACAGAAGAAAATACATGTTCTCTGATGCTCTAACAGACAGAGTAATTGTCTCAAAAGTGTCTCCTCTTGACCTTGGGGAAATCAGGTATAATACAACTAGCCCTGACGGATCATTTTCACATGCTCTCTGTCACTCAATAACAGCAGCCAGAGCCATAAATCTGAGTTTAGAGGCAGTTCACAGTGAATCATTACCTGTCCACTGAGCGGCCCGCATTAATGGCTGACTCTCTCTCTCATATCTTACTCCTTCTCACTCTTTATAACCAAGGCAGATTCAAGATAGATGTTTTCTCTTGTCCACTAAAGTGCATGGTTCTAGGCAAATACACATTCTGCTCTATTAGTCTGACTAAAAGCCTTAATGAAACGCAAACATCCCTGATAAGATTCCTGCAGATGTAATCACACTGTGTAACCAATCAATACATACTATGCTAATGGATTACACACACAGACAGTGTTTCATTAACATGTTCAATGTCATTAGGATTACTATTTTGAGAGAGATGGATGGAAAACAAGATTACTTAAGCTTTAGTTAGAAGTGGAAATTGCAAAACTGTAACAAATACACCTTAAGGAATGTTGCCGGTTCAATACAAATTAAGCTGTATCTAGAACGTGTGGCATAATGATGAGTATGACAGAATAGTTTGGACTTCAGTTTTGCATTAAGGTACTTACAATGTAAAGTAACAAGGGCAATACATCTTACAATGAAATTGAAATAAAGTAGCTTGAGACTATTTGGATAAAGTTAAAGATGATAATAAGCTGGATGGATGGATGGATGGGGTGGGTGGATGGATGTGGATGGGTGGAATGGATGGATGAATGGGTGGGTGGATGGTATGGGTAGATGGCTGCATGGATGGAGGGTTGATGGGGAGATGGGGTGGGTGGTGGGGATGGATGGAGGATGGATGGGTGGATGATGGGTGGATGGGTGCATGGAATGAATGGGTGGATAGATGAATGGAGGATTGATGCATGGGTGGATGGGTGGATATGGATGGATGGAGGGTTGATGGGTGGATGGATGGGTGGGTGGATGGATGGAGGGTGGATGGTGGATGGATGGATGGATGGATGCATGGTGGGTGGGTGATGGATGCATGGATGCTATGTGGGTGGTGGGTGATGATGGATGGATGGATGGAGGATGGATGGATGATGGATGGGTGGATGGTGGATGGATGCATAGATGGATGCATGGATGGGTGGAATGGGTGGATGGATGGATGGATGGATGGATGCATGGATGGATGCGTTGAGGGGGTGGATGGATGGATGGATGGATGGATGGATGGATGGATGATGGATGGGGGATGGATGCAGATGATGGATGGATGGGATGGATGGATGGATGCATGGATGGGTGGGTGGTGTGTGTGTGGGGATGGAGGATGATGAAGGATGGATG